CTGTTTCTGGCCATTGCTGGAGATAGGACCTGGATAAATGGGCCTACAATATGATTCACTACAGCCATGCATTAGAGTACTTACACATATATATTGTATATTTGCCATTTTTCATACTGCATGTGCAGTGATGCACACTTACATGATATGAGTATATCCAGATATATTAAAATATAAAAATACACACTGCTGCAGATTTCTCTAATTACTCTTCCCACTAAAAGTGTTATTCTTTTGATTTACAAAGAAAAATTACTGCAGCATGTATTACTTTGTGTTTAAGGAGGAGGAGGAGTGATATGAATTGAAATATTTATGGATAGCCTGAAAGAGGATCAAGACCTGTCCAGGCAGGGTGAAACTTGCAGACAAAAGCTGTGATCAAAGGCCAGTCAGGCCTCCATTGTGGAGGTGGATTAGGTGGTGACATTGTGAAGGGGTTACCTTTGAAGGGGGTACGTCTCTGCTAAGCTCACCATAGGTTGATAAGAACACTTAGAGGCTTTTAGACAAAGTTGTTGTCTATTTTCTACCCTGGCATCTGGTTCCTAAAACTGCAGAGGCAGAGAGCTGATGAAATATAGTGTCAGTATAGATATGTTTATGTACACACATTGCACAGTCCCCTTCTATATGATGATGGAGTAGTATCAGAGGATTATATGCACTTCTGCACTATGACTTAGAGAATTAGGTAGTAACAAATCAATCTTTAGATCGTTTTTCTTTATTTGTGTGCCAGGCTCCTGGCCAGGAAGCCAAGTTAAGAAATGAGCAATCAGGCCTGGAGTTACAAGGAAGCAACTGTTCTGAGAATAGTAATCACAGATGCTGATGAAAGGAAAAAAAAAAATTCGGATTAAGACCAAGGTTTGAACAGACTGTCCCTGTCAACAAAAAGGCTCTTGGCCATCAGTGGGAATTAGTCAGCCTATACTGCCAGAAGGAGCCAGTTTTAGGCTTATACTGAGTTAGTAGCAGTAGCAGATATGACTTCAGCAGAACATTTACTCCGCTGTAACATTTTTTAGAAGCCATCTCCTCCATTTTTTTTGCCTTCTTGTCCATCTGAGAGCCACTGATATTTATGAAACTATGAGCTACTTATCAAAATTTCTATTTAGCTGAAAGTCACAAGAGTCTTACCACATTCCTCTGTGAGCCAACATAAGCTCCAAGACTGTCTCAGAGATGGGAGGTAACAATAACCTCAAGGGCTCTCACCAGTTGGTGAGCAAGCATGCAGCTGTGACACATGGTCCTTCAGGGGTATCAGCCTTAGCAGCTACTGCTGTCTTGTTTCCTCTAACACTAGGGGATTCAAATTCTCCAGAAGCCTCTCACTAACATGGACTTGCCACTGGTCAGGTGAGATAGGCTTGGCTTGGGACCCCCACCTACACTTTTCAAGAGCTGTACATAGTACAAGATCTACAGCTGTGTGACTTCTTCCCCAGAACAGCCCCACTGTAAGGATTCCTGTGACAAAACCACAGTAGACATCCTAAAATTAATACAATGTAACCATCATTGTATTGTCAGGTTGGGATCAACATGCTACATGTTGGCAAATACAATTTAAATGGTCAATCATTCCCTTCCCTTCCCCTTTCCCAGCTGTTCAGTTCCCCACTTCCACTAAAAAAAAGCTATTCCCTCCATCTTCTTTGCTGCAATTCCACTTTTTTTTTTAATCGTCTGTAAATCATATTTGTGAAATGATCCATCTTTAAGTTCTGCTAAACAAATGAACAAAAAAATCAAGCACAACTCTCTGTTTTTCTTTAGGAACATTTCTCTGGGATGCAAAATACCCTCAAAATAACTGACCTGATAAAACTTGGAGTATGTTGCTCTCTTCCACAGAAAGAGGTTGGACATAGTGTTCTTCAAGACCAAAATAGTAATTTATAGCTGCAACCTAAAACCCACCTCGATTACATGTTGCCTGTTTTGGCTCAGACTCCTGACTGGGACAAGCTCTCTATCTTGAATCCGTGTTTGTAGAGGAGAACTTACCCCACACACAGATTTTTTTTTCTTAGGAGTTAATCCCCAGACACTATCCTAAAAAGCATGATAGAATATTAGCTAAAGTTGAGCCAGAGTTCTATATTTGGACTGAATGTAGATTATAACAAAGAGTTCTTTTGAAGAGTTATGGTCAATGCCTCCTCTTCTCAACTGATTATATTACCACAGCCATAGACATAGCATCTCTTCCAGTTTCAGTATAGTGGCAGCTGTTTGAATTTTCATTGCAAATTTAGCTTCCTGTATTTTGATTTTGCAATGTCATGAGTTCTACTGCAATTCCCTGCACCATGTTCCCCTCAGAAAGACCGCTAGAAAAAAGAGTAGTTCCCTAACATCTTATTATGGATATCTTATGAACTTTTCTGATCAAAAGTAGCTAAGAAAGGACTTATCATCAGGGCAGGCATTTTACAGAAGTTCACTTAGCTTTAAAAAGAATGTTAGCAAATTCCATATTAAACTGTTCAAGACTTAGATTTTTCTGAAAGTAAGGTTTCAGTTTGTTTTCAATTCAATTTCATTCAGTTTTCAATACAGAATGAGCACATTGATAGGGTTTCGTTAGCTGTATCCTGCTGTGAGATTCCGTCTCAGTTTACAAGCTGCATGAGAAAGAACATGCTAAATACAAGTTGAAATCAATTTGTTCTTGAGTGCGATCATTAAAGCATAGCTGTTCTTCATGTATGTTCAGGACAGTTCAAGGGCTAGCAAGAGAGGAAGAAATGATCTGACATCTGCACTTGCAGAGACAGCCTACTACAGTATGAAAAATATATGCATGATTTTAATGTATGTTACTATTTCCATATAACATTTAACTAGGACATGAGTAAACTAAAAATGTGTTGATCTTGATTCGCTTTATTTATTTCTTGCTTAGCTTGTGCTGTCTATGTCAGTGTGACAGACAATTGCCAGAGGGTAGAAAGAAACTTGTTGTGTGGGTGATAACATTTCTAAATAGTAAAAGCCTCATTCTCTGTTTTACTCACAGATTCATGGCCTTACAGACCATTTCAGAACCTGCACTCGTGGGTTTTCTGCAGTAAAGGATAAGACAGAGTAAAGAAATTGGTGAGTTAATTTTCATAGAATAAGAGAATCAGAGAATCGTAGAATTGTTTAGGTTGGAAAAGACCTTTGAGATCATCGGGACCAACCATTAACCTAGCACTGCCAAGTCCACCATTAAACCATGTCCCTAGGTGCCACATCTACACATTTTTCAAATACCTCCAGGGATGGTGATTCTACCACTTCCCTGGGCAGCCTGTTCCAATGCTTGACAACCCTTTCAGTGAAGAAAATTTTCCTAATATCCAGTCTAAACCTCCCCTGGCGCAACTTGAGGCCATTTCCTCTTGTCCTATCACTTGCTACTTGGGAGAAGAGACCGACCCCCACCTTGCTACAACCTCCTTTCAGGCAGTTGTAGAGAGCAATAAGGTCTCCCCTCAGCCTCCTTATCTCCAGGCTGAACAACCCCAGTTCCCTCAGCCGCTCCCCATCAGACTTGTGCTCTAGACCCTTCACCAGCTTCCTTGCCCTTCTCTGGGCACGCTCCAGCACCTCCATGTCTCAATCACTTTTTAAACCAAAAAGTGATGCATTCTGGAAAAAATCTTGAGATAACACGGTGAGGCCTGTACTGAAAAACCAATGAATAGAAACCTATCACAGGACACTGTACTTAAACGTTCACTCACTGTTCCTATTGAAGATACAACAGCTGCAACAACCCTCCAACAAATCCTGACACCTCACGTAGTCTGATGGACCAAGTGCTACACAAATGGGTGAAAAGTTGTAGACTTGTTCTTTCCATAAGCTAGGGAGCCACTGTTGACCTGGTCCAAATGAGCATATGAGGTTTGTACAGGACAATCTTCCCAGCAGATCTCAAAAAGTTTTAAGGAGATCGATACCATTATTCTTATCTTACAGCTAGGGAAAATGAAGCATAAAAAAAGAGAAATAACTACTCTGAGATCACCTGGCAGACTGATGCCAAAGACCAGAATGAGATGCAGGTTTCATGTGTTCTAGTCCAAAGCACTATCAAATTCACATCTTTGCATCTGGTATGAAACTGCTCCAGTCCAGTGATGATAGTTAAGCATAGTGGTCCCTAATATACTTGTATAAATTTCCCATAGATAAAGCATAAGAGGTGCCATGTGGGTGGAATACCCTAATGCCATCACCTCCTGCCTGTACCCACCTTTTACAACTCTTCCAGCAGAGACCCCAGAGAGCAGCTTCCTACACTGGGGAAGCACCAGTTGCATGATGTACTAAAGCCCTCCTACAGTGGTACTACTTTTGAACTGTTGCCAAATACCATCTTTACACTTAATCTGTGCTGGTTCCTACAGGCTCAGTTTTGTGAAGTGAAATAATCCCGAAAAAGTTACTGACATAATTTCTCAGCATTATAGTAGGAGACTAGAGCATACAGATTGAACAAAACTTCTTTGCAGTGGTGTGCTGAAGTTATTCAAACTATATGAAGAACTCACAATTTTGGCAAATTCCTAAACATACATACTCTCAAAAGCAGAGGCCCCAGAAGAATTCACTATGGCCTTTGCATCTTCATTCAACTGTATGAAAACACTTTTATTTCTTGTAGGAATCTCTTCCTAAGATCCCAACACCTACAAAACATATAACTAATTATATTCGTTTTTGGTTTAGGTAGTCCTTAACACAGAAACACCTTCTATGATCCAGACTGCTGGATTTGAGAATTAGTACTTTAAATTCACAATCTAAAGCTACTTCTCCAACAAATTGAAAAGATATCTAGGTAATATTAAAAAAGAAAAAAATTAGGGACCATCAATGACTGGACTGATGACAGCTTATTGATTCAGACAGCTAAGATGCTGATAAATTTACAAGCACAACTTTACTTAAAATGTTATAGCAAGCATTGTCAAGTAATAAATCCAACTTACCTGTGAAGAGCTTCTGTGGTAAGCTGAGTAGTGAAGTGGTCCAGAAATAGCAGTATCATGTGGTAAGGATGGATACTGACTCTGCATTGGATGGGGATGCTGGTTGCTATAGCTACCATAGTTGTAACTTCCTGTGTATCTAAAATCCATTTAAAAACACTATTTAGTATACATAATAATTGTATTCCCACTAATAGAATTCTAGAACTTTTATGAAACATAGTCGCACTTTTTCAAATAGGAGAATGATATTTTAAATAACCTTTTAAAAAAAGATAGTTCCCAGCTCAGCTGGGAAGCAGGTGAAGCTACTCAGTGAAATTATGTGTTCAGCACAACAACAGACTCAGCATGTTTCTCTGACTAGTTTTGAATTGCAGACTCATTTGTGCACTTTCTGATGAGAAAGTGTCTTTCCCTTTTTTTATTATTTTATTGCCATGTTCCTAGTAAATTGCTATGCAGGCTGAGCAGGTATGGTAGGATTTGACTTAAAGAACTACACTGTGCAGTTCAGCTATTTCCTTGCACTGGGGTCAGATGTTCCATTTTTCAGAGGGAGAGAGAAGTATTAATTTGCACCTGAAGCATACCATATACATCTTCAGCACAGCTGACTCAAGAATGGAGTAGGATTTGAGGTTGGAAAACCTGCCTACTTTCTTTTTTTACCCCAACCCCTCATCTAGGGACCACCAGAGTTAAAGGAGGGAGTAGTTTCCTTAGCTCTAAGAAACTGCAGGGTCAGTGTCTGTTGGCCACCATTATTTGGGCCATTCAGCTGGCAGAAGATGCATGTACGCTTTCTGCAAGCTCCCTATCTTTGTGTAGCCATGTGAACATTCAGTGCTAATTCAGCACAGAAGTTTAAAAGTTCTTAAAATAATGCTATTGAAATCATAGAAGCATAGAATCATAGAATGGTTTGAGTTGGAAGGGACCTTAAAGATCACCTAATTCCAACCCCCCTGCCACAGGCAGGGACACCTTTCACCAGACCAGGTTGATCAAAGCCCCATCCAACCTGGCGTTGAACACTTCCAGGGATGGGGCATCCACAGCTGCTCTGGGCAACCTGTGCTGGTGCCTCACCACCCTCACAGTGAAGAATTTCTTCCTAATATCTAATCTAAATCTTCCCTCTTTCAGCTTAAAACCGTTACCCTTCCTCCTGTCACTACACTCCCTGACAGAAAGTCCCTCCCCATCTTTCCTGTAGGTCCTCTTTAAGTACTGGAAGGCTGCTATAAGGTCTCCCTAGAGCCTTCTCTTCTCCAGGCTAAACAACCCCAACTCTCTCAGCCTGTCGTCACAAGGGAGGTACTCCATCCCCCTGATCATTGTCATGGCCCTCCTCTGGACCTGCTCAATGAAACGAAACAATAAAACACAAACTGTGATAAACAAACAAAGAAGGTAACCAATTCATTGTGTGAGAGAGAAGACAGTTATTTGTACAAACTTACTCTTTTTCTGGAAAGTTCAGTGTAATTTTCACACTGGGTACAGTTTTAACTTCTGTTATTCTTTTGATCTTATGATTCTAGAGATACCACGTCATGTCTTACAGCAGACAATTCAGCAGATTCAAAATGAAAGCAGAGCACCCCTTCTAAAAACATTTGCAGGACATAAGGCTCTATGTCCACCTTCATTGTTCAACATTGAGCTCTCATTCTTACATTCACTTGGGCTTAGCTGTAAATATGAGTGGTTTCTATAATGTACCTCAGACAAGCTGGTGTCCACAAAATACGACTTTGATAGTCTCTCTGTGGAGAGCAAGGGAGAGAAGAATGGCTATGCTATGGAGCTGTTGCACACTGTTTGTGGTAGGCAGACATCTTGTGTTTTAATTCCTTCAACACAATAGAGTGGTAAATAAGATCTGCAACAGATGTTTTTGGTAGTCAGCATAAGCCTGACATTCACCGTGCAGCCTTCTCTGCTTGAAGAAGATGCTCGCCTGTGTAGTCCCTCCTGTAGTCTGGGGTGTTCCTGAACTCCCAAACAAAGCCAAGTCTTGTAAGGGTGTGTTTGCACTTCGTGCTCTCTCTAGTCATTAAGTATGCTATGTCCTAGTCTGGAAGCTATTGATCTTGTCTCCTTCTTTCAAACACTCATCACTTTTTGCTAAAATATAGCACTTTAATTCACTTGAGCATGGAGTTATAAAGTCTCTTATCCTAATCTCTGTTCTGTACTTTTGGTCCAGGAAGCTTCCTCTTTCTCTTTTCAACTTCAGGAGAAAGAGCACTGAGGACCTGAGAAGGAGATAACCATGCTCCTTCAAGGCTAGTATTCTGCCTATCTGAAAGTGCTTGGCTGAGGAACCCTACATCTTTCTAAGAAGAAAGTGTACCTGAAAAATCCAACAAAAATGTTTTCTGCCAAGTACTGAGTCTTATAGTGACTTCTGAACCACATCTATAGCTGTTGAGTAGTGAGGATAATACACAGACGGCACGTCTTTGGGGAAGTCCAGCTGGGAACTAGCAGTTACTTTAGAGTCTAGCAGCTATGATTCAGAAAGAATGGCCAATTGATCATACACAGGATAATGCAAAGTCCTGCATCTGGGATGGCATAACTCCTGCAGTGGTACAGCTTGGGGCCATTTGGAGAGAATGCAGCTTTGCTGAAAATTGCCTGCAAGCTCTGGTGGACAAAAAGTTGAACATTAAGTCACCAGCACGCCTTTGCAACAAAGACGACCAGGTACATACTGGGCTGTATTACGAGGAGTGTAGGCAGCAGCCCTAAAGAACTGATCATTCCTCTCGTTTTGGCACTGGATATATTTCAAAACTGAAATACCAATACGCTGATTTTGCTGTAGATACAAAATGAGTACCCATTGCAATGATTCAAAAAAATTTTAATAGCACTATATAGAGGGCAAATGAGATCAGGAAATCATTGTGATAAAAGCCATGTAAACACAGATTCACAGAGGGGCCCTATCCCTATGAGATTATAAAGTCAATTCCAGACAAGAAGGCAGATGTAACTGAAATGTTTAGAAGCATCACCAAAATATTTCTATCCATGTGTCACACACAAAACCACATGGCAAAGGAAGTCAGATTATAGAATTCTTTGCTGCCTTTCAGAAAAGTTGATTCACTTAGATTAAAAAGTTTCCTCAAATCACCTACCAGAGGCAAGAGGTTCCTTTAGGAACAATGAATTCTCACATATATACACCCATATATATTATATATACACACTGCCTTACTGTGGTCTGTTCCAGTTCTTGTATCCTCAACTTCCCTTCTGCTCTATTTCTGCTTCCACCAAGCAGTCATATTGCTGGATAGGAGAGATGATCCATATCTCCATATCCAGGTTTCTCCAGTAAGGGCTTAGCAGTGACATTCAAACAGGTACCTAAACCTAACCACATCCAAGAGGGAAGCAGATACAGGGTTCAAATTTACCTAATGTTACCCTTCCAAACAGTATACAGTCTTCCACACTGGGAAAACACTTCTGCAAGGTTAATGAGTATGCAATGAGACTGAGGAACTCAGTAAAGTCTTTAGAATATCTTGCATCCTGTCAGCACCTGGGCATTTGCTAATCTTGCTATACACGTGGCCCTTCTCCATCAATTATTTTGTGATTGTTTCTTTTTAGTTACGGATATCTATGAGTTATATACTCCTTCAAGTGCAGATGGCAGAGAAGAAGTGTTACTTGATGAAAAGAGCACCGAGAGACTTAGTCTGAGTGTCTGAAGTTTTCCAAGATCAAATAATGTTGCACAAATTCCTACTGTAATTATTTTGACAGCCTTGATCAAATTTTGATGATGGAGATGAGATTAGAATATTATGGTGAAAATGTGGCTATTTCTCCAAATTTTGGACATTTTTTATCTGAAGGTCTAACAGTCATAGAATCATTGAATCATTCAGGTTGGAAGGGACCTGTGCAGATTGTCTAGTCTAAGCCCTCTGCTCAAAGCAGGGTCTGCTAGAGCAGGCTGCCCAGGATTGTGTCCAGATGGAGTTTGTATATCAGCAGGGATGGAGGCTCCATAGCCTTTCTGGGCAAACTGTTTCAGTGTTTGATCACACAGTAGAACAAGTTTTTTTGATTGTTTATGTTTAAACAGAATTTCTTGTATTTCTATTTGTGCCCATTGCCTCTTTTCCTGTCACTAAATACAATCAAAAGAATCTGTCTCTGTCTTCTTTACATCCCCCAGCAGGTATTTATACACATTGATAAGACTCTCCCTGAGCCTTCCCTGCCTGATGCTAAACAATCCCATCTCTCTGAGTCTCTCTTTGTATGACAGATGCTCCAGCCCTGTAATTGTCTAAGTGGCCCTTTTCTGGATTTACTCCAGTATGCCTGTGTCTGTCTTTTACTGGGGAGCACAGAACTGGATCCAGATGTCGTCTCAGCAGTGCTGAGAAGAGGAGAAGGATCACCTCTCCCTAGACATGGTATAGTAGGGTCATTCTTTGGGCATATCTAGCCTTTGGGATAGAACACGGCACAAGAAAACAGGAATCAGAGAAGAAATCTACTGAAACTCTTCTACAAAATGTTCTCCAGGCCTACTGTGTTTTTAAATAGAATTAAATGAGATTATAAAACTGAGACATAATAGAATCATCCAGCAGTAACAACAGCCAAAGAATAATGATACTAGCATCTTTGCAATACAGACTTACTACATCAAGAAACAGATTTCACTGTATTTTCAAAAAAACACCTAAGCCTAAGTTAATCCAAAACCCACAAAAAAAACCCCAAGACACTGAGAAGTGACTTACCCATGTTCTTCTCTGTGGGGATAAACAGGTATCCGGTGTGTGACAGACGATGATGGTACATGTGGACTTCTCATGCAGGGCAGCTGTTGGGAATTTTCAGCAGGTGACCCAGCAGCTGTTGTCACAGTGTAGGTGAGTGACCACGTATAGGATTGCATAGCCCCTGCAGACAAACAAGCATTAAAGGAACACAGCTAACATGGGCTGTCATCCCTAGAGATGTTAGGCTTTGAGACAGTTAGAGGAAAGCAACCTAACAACCAGTGATAATGGAAACAGCATCAACTAAAGTGAACAAAACAGTCATATCTGTGGCATAAATAAAAATATAAATAGATCAGCTGGAGTGTGCAAAGATCCACAGGTAAGAGACATATATGGAATGGCTCAGACTGTGAATGTTCAGTGTGGTGTTGAAATACTTTTTCAGAAAAAACTGGGATAGGACTTAGAAATGGAGGAACACCAGTGCTAATATTTCTCCACCATGATGCACCGAACCCTGAGGTCTCTCTCACATGGAGTGGGCTGCTGGCCTGCTTAGCGCTGAGGCTGAGCAGGCCTGGACTGAGGCAGGAAGTATGATCAGAACAATGAAGGATTAGAAAAAAATGGGTGTTACGCAAATAAATTTCTTGAATCCTTTTGCACCTTGTACCTTCTCCACCCAACTAGGTACAAGCTTTTGTAGTGGCAACACAGCAGTAGATCTCAAAATTTTAACAAATATATAGATAGAAATAACCTAGCCATTTTCTTCCCACAAATAATGTTTCTTTCTTCTTTCGAGGTGGCAGGGACTGGACTTGACTTAATTTATTTTTTCCTGTAGAGCGTTTGTGGGAAGAGCAAAGCAAAAAAGCGGGTTTTCCATTTTGCTTGGAAGGTGCTGAGTTTTTTTAATCATCCTGATCCCTTCCAGGCAGGAACTCCAGATTCATGAGCCAGCTGCTGAGAAACCTTTGTCCTTTGCACACACCCCTTTCACTCAGGAGGCTGACAGATCCATTGTTCCAGTATAACATAGCTCTTACTGGAGGTCATGACCATACTGGCTGAGATTACCCTGCAAATGAGGACCAGAACACTGAATTTAACCCAATGAGAACACTAGTTTGGGGGTCTCTGGGCACTCTTGACTCTTTTTCGCCAGCTAAAAGGAATTGCAGGAGGTGACTCATTTTTTTCAGTGTGGATTCTAGGACTTCCTGTAGTATGAAAGGGTGTAATTCAGAGGGGAAAACGATTGTATTACCAGGTCTGTGTCCACTCCATGACGTTGAGGAATGAAAAGCCTATCTCAGATGTGCATAATTTTCTTTAGGTCTGTGTAACTTTATTTCGCAAAATCAGACAAATAATTTTTTTAAATGGGAAATGCTTAATTCTGGGCCTGAATGAAGGCATTCTGAGCTTCACAAGGTAAGTCCAGCTTGAAATACTCCAGCAGGGTGTGATTTAGTGCTCTTATAGTAGAAACATCCTTGCATGTGTTATGGCCTGTTTTCACACACCTGCATTTTCTGTCACTGACTCTTGAATATTCAGTCTTTCATCTCCTCCCATTGCAGAGGACCACTGAGATCCCTGAGACCAAAGAGAAGCTAGCACATCAGTGTTGCTATGGATATAAGCAGTCATGGTTCTTTGAGTTGAGGAAACTGTTTAAGGAAGCCTACCTTTGCTACGAAATACAGTTTATGTGGAAAGGACCAAAAATACTTATGCAGTCACCAAGTAGCTTAATTGGAAAAGAAGAGAAAAATTGTTTTGAAAATATCAACAACTTGTCTGCGAAATATTTTGGTGAAATATTTCAGTTTCAAAAGGTCAACATATTTTCCTAGTGCTATTTTCCAAAAGAAAATTTGAAACTTTGTTTCAAAACAGGCCTAAATTCAAAAGGCAAAAACAAAGAGAAAAGAAAGAAAAGAAGGACAACAAAGATGGTGAAAAAACACAAATACTTATTTTTAGGTAACATTACTAGGGTTTTTTTCACTTTTTCACTTTTTAAATTCACTGTAAAACAGAAGTTTTACTTTGACTTGATTTTTTTTTTCCCGAGAAAAAAATTGGCCATTGAGCCAAAAATCTCATGACCTTCCTAGCTCTAACAAGAAGCAGTAATAACAGGGCCAAAAGATCCTTTGCATTTTACCAAGTATGTTTGATTTGACTGGCCCCAGCCATTGTGACAGCCTCCTTTTCTTTTTTTAAAAAAATAGTAGGGATCTTATCTCAGTCTGAGGAAAATTACTCAGTCCAGGACAGCAAGTTGTTTCATGTGCTCCCTGTGGGAAGTCAGACTCCTTGGATGGAGGACTTGGCCGCTCCTGGCATTCAAGTCTAACTGACAGCCACCTCAGTTCAATTTTAAAATAAATGTTTAAGGTGCAACATGCTTTGTGCTTGTCCAGACAACACAGAAACAAATACAGAGAATAGGTCTTGCACTGGAAGAGCTGTGAATATCTTTGTTTAATTCTCCTAACCAAGAATTTTCCAAGGTACTACAGGATAGTACCTCACACAGCTGCTCTAGGAAATACTCGCTTTCTTTTGGAGGTTACGGTTTAGAATCAAATGTATGTTGGATTTTACTCTGGATTTACAGAGTGACAGAAAGCAGTTCAAATATCTTTTTCAGGATGTTCTTGAGAATCTACAGTTGCCTCACTTCTCTTTGCCTTTGTGGAAGGGATGCCATTATTTTCAGTGACCTAGTCACAAAGACAGAGAGGAAGGTTAGAAGATGACAACAGATTTGCAGACTGTGTGTATGTATATATCGGGTCAGCCAGGATACCGCCAACATTGTGGTGGGTGGAAAAGGTGGAATGAGATAAGTCTGAAAGTTTTTTATAGTTAGCTTTTTAATACCTGCCTATTTCCCAGTCCTATATGACTAATTTCGTCAGCTGGCTGCAGAATTGATCTCCAGGAGACGAAGGCTCTTTTAGATATGACTGAATCCAACTGGACCGCTTTGTGAAATAAGGAAAACAATAGTGATTGAGCAACATTTTGCTCTGCTTTGTGTTCTGAACGTGCAGGGTTTGATTAAAATAGGGAAGTTCATTTATTATCACTCCTTTTTCTTTCCTCTTTTAATGAAAAATTTGATTTTGAGGATACTAACCAAGAGGCCATCTGACCTGTAGGATAGCCAAATATAAATGGAACTGCTATCAGTCCAACAGCAACAGCCCTGTTGTTATTGGTGCCATCATGTACACCAGTCCATAAAGAAAAAAAAGTTGCTTCATGATGCTGCATTTTATATTTGTTTTATGCTGCAGTAAATGACCACAGAGGTACAAACAAGACACTCACAGCACTGTGTATTATGTCTGATAGTAAGCAATACTGTCAACCTCAAGCAATCAGAAATCTGGAGTCAGACTCCCGTTCTGCCCACACACAACGAAGAGATTTCCTTAACTATCGGTTTTAGAAAAAACACAAACTCTTCCATTTGAAAGGGGAGAATTGCATTTTGAAATTGGAACTTTTGACTTTCACACTCTGCGGATATGAGAATTAAACTCTGATTGTTGAACAAGAGCTGATGTCCTCATATATTCATATGAGTCCAGGAGCTGAAGCTTTAGGAAAAAAACCCAGAGATTTGTTCTAAACATACCTACAAATATGAGAGGTGGTAGCTCTGTGCAAGTATCTCCTTGCCAGATTCCCAGAACTTTAATACCTAGCCTAGACTTGGAAGATCAGCGACCTTAAATGACGATTGCTGACCTGAAGACTTATTTCACACATACATTTCTTGAAACTAAACAGTAAACTGCATAGATTAGTTTATAACATATTAGGAACTACTTACAATTCAGAGTTCATTTTGGATTGTCTAAAAACCATTGCATTGGCAAATGAGTAATCACAGCTTTAAGAGGGGCTTTAAGAGAGAATAGCAGTCAGCCATTTAGCTATCACTTTTATTACAATATTGCTGCGGTTTGAACAATCATTAATCTTGCCTTTGTGATTTAGAAAGGATGGAGACTAATTATCCTTTTAAATGTCTAGTAACTTAACAAAAAGTTTTAAATAAAATGTTAGCTGAGCCATGCCAGATATTCTACCACAGAATGCTATATATAGGATTTACCTTTCTTTTGCTCAGTATCATGTAATTGCAACAGTTTAATTTGCTGGTTTTGTACTGACCACTGACTGAAGGCAAAAATGTTAAAATGCACGTTTAATAGTTAACTTTTATTGCTAATGCCACAAGCAAGAAAGAGTTAATGATGCTTTAAATTGGGGAACTGAGAGCTAGTAGTAACCAATGGAACTAGTTCTCAAGATCTGCAAAGGGTTTACAGAGTTTTACATTTACCTTATAAAAGACACATAAGAAAATCAACAGAGTGTACTTTAAATATATCTATCCAGAACAGAAGTTCATGTTCCAAAATATTCTATATATTAATGCCACAAATCTGTATATTGAATAGTTTGATTATATGTAATACATCTTCAGCACTCCTATTTTAAAGTATAGCAATTTCCTATAGCTGAAACACGGTGGTCATTTTGTATTACTTTATGTGAATGAACCCTGCATTCCATGGTGTAATGGCTAGCAAACTAAAAAGGTGATCAGTTCATCTACATGATGAACATGGGAAACAGAAGTATTACTAATTGTCCAGATTAAGACCAGGAATTAGCCACATACTTATATTTAATCTTAACTAGTCCACTACTTGCATTCACAAATTTGGTTTGTGATAGGCAAAAATGATTTTCACACTTGCAAAAGTGACACTGCACCAAACCATAAGAATAAAATCCAGTTCAATCAAACAAAAGTTTTTAAAACAACCTAAAAATGAAAAGCTGGAAAAAACAGATAGCTAAAATAATCAGAAATAGCTTTCTTGCCTAAGAAGTTCTGCTATGGGAACAACTACGTCACGTTCTACTGCCTGTGGGAGTAGGTCCTTCAACCATTGTTCTCAAATGATCCAGTTTCTGGCTTGAGACTTCACACTAGCAGACTTTGGTCTCACCAAGACATAAAAAAATTAGAAGGAGAGAATAAAAGAGACTATAATAAAATAATAAACAACATGAAACAAAAAAGGAATTGCATTTGTAATGTTTGTGAATCCATTCCCTTGCATTACTGGTAGTATTCAGGGAAGATATGTAAGATCCATGCAGTTCACAGGCCTGCCCAGATCTGTGCCTAAGTCAAGTACCTAAGTCAAGTAAGCTGAAGGTGGAAGCTCAGATAGCTGACAAATAGGCTATTACATAAACATGGAATAAGCTTTGGGTTAATAGTTATGATAGTCACATAGAGTTACAGTGTCTGCAGCCTAAACACATCCCTCAAATCTCCCTTCCTGTCAATGCCACTGGAGAGCACACAGTTCCCTACTTTTCAGTCTTTTACTTCTGGGTACAGTTCTGCATCATACTAAGTTCTGGTTATAACATCACAACAATCTCATTGGGCCACAACATCTACAGATCGAGTTACCCACAAAATCAACATTTCAACAAGACTCAAACATATACACCACTTCCACTGTTGCCTGATCTAAAGCAGTGTGCTCACCTGCTATGTCTAGGAATCATGTGTCTCTTGTCTAACTGTTCTGGGTGTAATACCATACTGTTCCCCTTCTACATGTTGGATTGTCTCCAACAGTGAGAAAACCTTAAGTTTTGATCTAGGGACAAATGTTCTTAAATCTCTTTCCACCACAACTATGCATTGTGCTTCCCTGTGGCGCCTTTGAAAACATGAAAAACATTTGTCAGAAAGATTTATTAGTCCTTTAGCCACTGCCAAATTCTCCAGTGTGGTAAATCATCACTTTCTGACATTCTTTCAAGAAGGTTTTGTAACTTTTATAGTACGTCACAAAAGTGATAGTTTCCACATTCTGATTATACACCCTTTTTATTGAGGAGCAGCAAAGCTGGAATTTCACTGCCTGGAACGCCTTCCGAAAGTCGTTCACATTTCTGCCTTTTTTTCCATAAGTTAAGAAAACATTATCTTTTGATCATGCAGACAGACTGTCCTGACCACATCCAAAAGGTAATGAGTGAGTTTTACATTAGAGTACAGCAGATGGTTGACCATTTATACAGACCAAACAAGAAGCCAGTTTTGAGCTTACTGTTTTCTGTCAATCCTGCCAACAAGTTGAATACCTCTAAGCAACTGAAAATAGGCTTCAGACATGTAAGTTCTAGTCTCTAACACTGAAAGATGAAAGTTATCAATGATATGCAAAAAATTCCCAAGAGAAACTCGCACAGTTATTTAAACATTTTTGGTCTCAAATACATTAAAAGATAGCTGATTCCCACTTTACCCACTAGGAATTCCTGAACCTCACTAAACCTTAAAATATGTGGCACATTTCCTAGACTGCACATAGTGTTTCGATACAGTGAGAAGGCATAACTGATACTTTAAACAGATCTATGTGTTGGAAGGCTTCTCATTTCTTGAAAGCCAGCACATCATTCTCAGGCTCAATTTCAGGTGATCGAGTGCAAAAGCCATCTTCAAGCAGATCCAGCTACCGTAAGCCTACCTACCTGTTGTAGCTGTTATGCCACCATACTCTGGGGACTGATTGCTGACAGGTGAGGGGGCAGAGGGCACTTCCACTGAGGTGGCAGATTTAGCTGGGGAGAACGGCACTGGGGAGGGAGTTGGAGGAGCTGGTTCACTCAGAATAATTTCTTCTCGTATTTCTGCTGTAGGATGACAGAAAAATAATCAAACATAGTTAAAGGTAGAGTCAAAGAACATTCAGAAACTTAAAAAAAATTAATGCAAGCAGTTAAGTTCTGTAGGCTGTATTTCAAGAAATGTATAGCAGGAATCACAACTCTTTGAAAGAAGTACTTCTATAACATTCAGCATTACAACCTTCAGTGTAAATTCATAAGACTTCTTAAAGGAAAGTGCTGTTTTTCCTGTTGTACAGATATGAAACTCATGGATAGACAGCTTAAGGCTTATATTCCTGTATTATACTATTAGATACTTAAAATTAGGAGTCCAGTGTGAGGCAGGCACTCCTACTCCTTCTAGAGACATTGAAAAGAAACAGGAATCTCCAGGGGATTTCAGTGGTTTTTGGCCATGACCTTCTTTCTTTGTTGACTAAAGAGGATGACACTCTGGATAGTTCTAGCTGCTAAAGGTATGTGGAAAGTACGCAAGGATAAGCAACTTGTTTGTCAAAAAACCAAAAGGCTATGGCAGGCCAATGAATTAAATCCTGGTCTTTCAACACATAGAAGATATTACTCTAATCACTGAAATGTTCTTCTCCCCACAAATCTAAAGGGTGACAAATTAAGCCACAGCTAAAATGAAGAATGGAATTTTCCAAAGGTGACAGAGGGGTTTAACTTGCCCAAATTAATGGGAGATGCAAGGAAGGAAGATCATTGAGGACTCCTCATTACAAGGAGTTGCTCTGAGCAGAGAGATTAAAGGCAACCTCTGCTTGCTTCTGTTCTGGCAAGGCAGTGTAGAGTGTTGCAGGACTCAGAATCTGCTTCTGTACGCCTGTACCTCAGAACATAAGTGTACCGGAAACAATAGCTTTGTTTTTTGTCTTTGCTCACTTCTCCTATCTCTCCCTCTATTAGACTGGTACAAATCCACTGATATCAGTGAATTTATTTAGTGTTAAACAGGGGTGAGAGAGAGAGAATGAAGACTGGGTCCAGTGAAACGCAATGGTGGCTTAGACAGATTAAGATAAAAGGCTCAGTACAAAAATCCCTACTGAAACACCAAATGTGTGCTTAGGAATGGGGTTTCAAACATCCAGTGTCACATCATGAAGCAGTCAGGCCTCTTTCAGAATATATTAACCAGGGACACCCCCCTCACAAATGACTTATTTCAAATCATGATGGAACTGAAAACCACTTTGCTCCTAGATAAGCCTCACTGGGTTAGATGAGGATAAAGAAATGTCCCAACATAGAAAACAGTGCATCCAGTGGAATAAAACAACAAAAGATGAATAAAAGAACAAACTCACCTGTACTTGCTTCTCCTTTCATTGCCCTCATTAGCTCATTAGCTCTCTCCTGACAATGGAGTGATTCTAGCAGGTACAATACGTAGTCATCAAACATCAAGTGAATAAGGTGAAAAGACCCTGGTAATAAAGTGAACAAACAAAAAAGCCATTGACTGTCTCAATACACTCATTAAACCAATGATTACGGTATTCAACACAAACAGTACTGAGTAGGACTGTCTCCATATACTACTGCCACTGAAGTATCTCTCTTACTCAAGGTAAGAGGGGTCAAAGTAAAACTGGGGACTAGCAAACTCTGTTCACTCCTGGATTTATACAGGCTTATACAACTTGCAGTTTAGGGTGCAAGGAGGCTGCCTAGATGAGAGCTGGGACTTGATGGAGTTTTCTTCCCCTACATTAGCATTTAACAATTTAGACAATTACACTACAGTGGAATTGTTTCCTTTTATCTAAAGGACCAGACATAAGTTTCTGTCAGAAGTAGAATCCTGAATTGGCTGCCTTAGTGACACGTCTGGTATGAATTTTCTGAACTACCTGTGTCATTGGACAAAGAAATGAGAGGCTAATCGATAAGAAGGCAGAAACAACCTTTCAGATCTCCTGATGGTGTATCTCCAGTACATTGCCTGGACTGGATGAGACATCCATTAACTCCCAAACATAGAGGCATTAGCAGCAACTGTAGATGTCTTAAAGTGAAAAACTTGTGCCAAAGCTTTGCTCTGTCATACTTCTCCTGCTACACTATCTTTTCCTAATTATCAGTTCAAATCATATCAGCAGAATAACATTTGGCCTGTTTCTGTGCTTACCTCTGGAGACGCCTTTGATACTATCTCTTAACTGCCATGACAGGAATATGAAAAACTTAAGGGCTAAAGGACTAAAGGACTTAAGGGAAGAGTATGGATGAAAGAAAATGTGGAGGATAGAGTCAAAAAACACTTTGAAAATTAACAGTAAAAGCAGATTATATGGATAGCTATCTGCCACAAATCCTCAAGTAAGATTTGAGTACAGATGGAGAACTTGCTAATGTTGTTAGGAAGAAGGACTGAGTGATGCTATGGACTAGAGTAATGGAAAATGCTGTAAGAAGTTCTGCCCTTAGAGACTGATCTTATCCTCTGATTTATATACTTCCTCTGTAGAAACAGAAGTATTAATACTATTGCACAAGGCACTGGTGAAACCTCACTTAGAATATTGCATATAACTCCAGTCACCCATGTTCAAGAGAAATTAGTACAAGTTGAAACTGATACAGAGATTACCAGGAGGATGCAGGGAACGGATAAGAGATTTTAAATGACTAAAAATGCATGGCTGGCTTCATTTTGCACAAAGGAACTGAGATGCTTCCCATAATTTATAAAGAAGGATACATGTCAGGGACGATGAAGAAATGTTTGCCCTAGAGCACACATAGCCACAAAAAGAGATATGTAAGAAGAGACCGTGGATGCATTTCAGGGGAAAATTAGAGGAGCAAAGCATCAGAGCTGAGACATTGTGTAGTGCCCTCCTGAAAGGAATAACATTCATCTGGAGGGGAAGACTGACAAGTATCAAGATGGATTTTGGTCAGTTTATGCAATAGACTCCATGAAACCGAGTACCTGTAATAGCTCCAGACAGGATATGATCATACAATTTTATTTTTTTTAAAAGCTCCTATGTTTGTTTAGAATTGTATGGAATATTTAAAACACCTTCATATAAGTCACTAAATAACTCTGGCAAGTGCAAATGCAGTCAGGTTAAAGTAACAGCCAGCCCAGTAGCTGGCTTAAACCAGAGAGAGATCATCGGCTGAGGGGGAAACAGAGATCAGCTACTGCCAGACAAAAAAAATGCCTCATCTGGATGTGTTTCTTTTGAAATTCCAGTACTACATTTTGAGGAAAAATACTTCCATGGCGAAAAGATGCAACAAGTTTCAAATTCAATCAAATTTCATAACGATTGGTTTCTTCAAAAGGAAGTTAGGTTTATCCTGGGATACTAGCTTTTATCACAGCAAAGCATAACTACCCCTACTCCAACTTCTGTACTCAAACATACTGTTGAAGGGCAGAAGAAGTGGTTTGAAAGACCCTATATCCTTATACAATTCTAGCTGGTAATTCAGCTTTCAAAGCGAATCTGAGCATATTCTTTTTTTTTTTTTATGACCTGGATGGTCTTTGTGTTTCATTCTCTGACTTCATGCCTGCACCGCTTCTGTCGTCACTGATACGAGCTGAGCATACACGCTGGGAGGTGAACACGCGCCTTTGTGTTCTCGGGCAAGGCAGCACAGAGAAAGGACACACGTGGTTGCAACACCTTTCCTATGGGGAGGAAATCTTTGGCTATTGGTGAACTGAAGCATTCAGGTTTTCATTTGTTTCATATATCTGTGCAAAACAAAATGGTAACAAGTTTCCCCAGCCTTTCAAGGGTAAACAGTGGAGATCTTCACTTAATTACTGCAGAGAATTTGTTTTTAGAAATCTTTTGGGCTCAAATTCTTGTTAAATAAAATCCTATTCAATTTAGCAGTAAAATAAAGACAGCAGACCTGGCTGATCACCTTGTTACTGACCTAGGATTTTCCCAGTGGAAACCTAGATTATCAAGAATCTCCACAAAATGCTCTCTGCTTCTGACTGTAGTCTTTCAGTGCAAAGTTTCTATTGACTTTAGTGCAGTTACTACTGATAAGTATTTGCAAAGTGAGAAAAACAGGCCTAAATCCTGGCAAACTTCATGTGGTGGTCTAAAGCTCAGAGGATTTAGTGTTTCCCATCAGATTCCTTGCTCAGCTTTAATTAAAAAAAAAATAAATAAGGAAAGTTGCTTGTACTTTCATAAAAATATTTGGAAGTGCAAACCCTAAACACTGAAATGCTAGCAAGCAAATGACAAGATCCCAAGATTTGCTATTTTTAAAAAATTTCTTTGTTTTTTTGGGGGGTCTAATGCTTTATTTTGAAGACTTGGGGTTGGCAATACTGAATGCAGCATTTAAAAACACTCCAGTGCCCTTGTCACTCTTTTGAATTTCTCTCTTCCTCTCCTATTATTTCTCCCACTGTGTATTTTTAAACTCTGTATAGAGTTTTTGAGGCCAGAATTTGCGTGAAAGACACTGGACAAACAAGTTGTTGGTACTGAATGAATGCAATATTTTTACATTTTTAAATGAGTCAAATGAAACGTAAGCTATAGAGTGAAACCAATATCAGGGCACACATTTCAGCTACACAGTGAATAGCTATTCAGCACATTGTACAATAATTTATTCGGTGTTTGCAAGCTACTATTTTTCACATGAAACTGTTTAGTTCTTTCAAGTATATCTTTAAGTACTGAAACGGATCCAGCTGTGGCTGGCAAACCATACACTTCTTTAGGAAAAGGTAAGAAGTCATTCAAGAGACTGTAGTTGCAATAATAAATAGGTTTTGGCTCTAATTTTCAGGACACAACAGAAATCATGGCAATGATTACCCAGCTAATGTACAGTAAGTATCAGCAGCTATTAACAGATACAGCAATTATGTGTAAGTAGCAAAACAACAGCGAGATTTCCAGATCTGGAGAAAATCATGGAGCTTCCATTACTAATTAGTTACTTTATACACTGGATGTGTTACCCAAACACTGCCACCAACTGTGCCTTTGATATGCATAGACAGGAAGGAGGGAGGGAGGCAGGCAGAGAGAAAAAGGGAGAGGGAGCAAGAGAGAGAGGAGCTTTGTTTTCTGCCAGGGATTGTTTCAACCTGCCTATGCCACCACGCTTAAAAGCTTTGCAGAATCAAATCTTTGTGTCAGCCAGTCCAGTGCCAGGTATTCCAACTTCCTCCAATCAGATTTCTCTGTCATATATTTCAAAATATATATATATACTGTCCTGTATATAGTAAAGATATCATCATTTAACACATTATTTTACTTTAAAAAGAAATTACATTATGAGCATCTGAGCCTATATATTGCTTGAAGTGGAAAAAATAATTAAAAATCAGTCCACTGAAACAGTTTCCAAAGCAGTAAAAATGCAAAACTTTTTATCTAAGTTAAGAACAAAGGTGTAGAGACATATATATTTAGAATAGTAAATCAATCTTTGTTTCTCTCCACAGAACTCACTGAAATGCATACATTATCCTGAAAAGCTAGAAGGAACTGTGTTAAATTAAGAGCAGAAGAGGTTCTGCCATCTAGCTCTGAGCTATTTACAGTCAGGGGTTATTCTTTTGGAACTTGCTCAACTCGAATTCATGAACCATGTGTCAAATGACCTTGCAGTGAAAGAGTAGCATCATTAATATAAATGATTATAAATTTGTGTCCGTGGCTATATAACATTTGGGATGTTTTGGGGGAAACAAGGTACAGATAAGCCCAGGCTTCTGCCTGATAAGATGAGGATATGGTTTTGGTATCATTCTCCCTTTTGAAAACCTGAAGGTTCAGATCTCCTTCTATCTCCACTGGCATTGCACCTGAGCAGGGAAAACTCCATCATGTATAAATAAGGGTTAGAATAGGGACTGGAGCAACGCTTGTCACATCACCTCCCAGAAGAGAACCCACGTAGGAGAGAACCCACTTAGCAGGCTGCAGATCTCTGCAGCTCAACAAATGGTTATGTGGTTTGTACATAGTGAAACAGTTTCAACAGAAAAGCTGAGAAAACCCTCCCCCGGGACAAATCCTCTCGCCCTTTTGGTCAGAGATCTTGTTCTCACAATGATTAACACTGCTTCAAGACCACTGAGGCAGGCAACTGTGGTCTAAGCAACAAAATATGGTAGATATAAAAGAAGTTTCTTTGATTTTACTTTTTTAAAAATAAAGATTTCTGAATTTTATGAAAATCCCAAACTATCTCAGCTTCACACTGAGCAGGATGATTATTTTTTTAAAAAAACCTCTTGTGTTGGCTACCAAATTGAAAAGCAGTTATTGATCCAATTCTAAGTATAACACTACATAACCATGAAAAACACATCAGCTATGACCAGTACATTCTTTCCCTGACTGTGGTTACATATAAACATATCAAATTCATGTTCAAAGGTGTGTGTCCACATAAGAAGGAGACTCATGCATTTGTACACACAGATATACTCAGTGAACTAAAAAGACAAAAAAAACCCCAACTTAGCTAAGTAGTTAAAGTTCTCAAAAATGAGAAATTCAGGAGCCAAATTTATAACAGAGACAACAGGTAAGTTATTTTGGTAGATCTGATATATGATATTGTAGTGGGTCCCAAACTAAAACCAACAAATAATTCCCAGTCTTCTCATTTACTCACTACATGGCAAGTTCATAAATGTATCTGTTAATAAGTAAGAAATTGTAGCCAAGGATCACTGTACAAACTGCCTAGACAACTGGTGGTCTAATAACTATTTGGGGAATCCCTGTTCGATTAAAGATGTTTTGGTGATTGATGCTCTAAAACAGAGAATGCTTGATTAGGTCACAAACATACTGTGAAGAGGAACAAAAATAATGTTGCAATGTACAATTCAGTAGCAATAATGTATCCTTAGGGGCGGCTTATTTTCAGCATTAAATAACTCATAACAGTGTAACATCAACACTGCACTAATGCAGGATGTTTTTTCATTTGTTGGGTACCGGTGTGTTTCACAGGTTGGGATTGTGTCTGCAGGGAGAAGTGTACCAACATAAAGTGCAAGAAAACAAAATGCAGCATTTATTCAACACTCATGCAAAGGGATTTTTGAACACTGGGGGAAAGTATACTCTTAAGTGGTATCAGCTACTTTTATGCCCACAACAAAAGAAAAGCTGCAGTGACTCAAGGAGAAAATTAATGGCAGAGGAGGTGGAAAATAGATGTGACCAGGATACTGGTGCTGAAAACGCAAGCCAGCAGATGGAAATGGTGATTATCTCGGGGATGCTCACTATCCTGATGTTTAATAGTGACTCATTAATACCTGTTTGGAAAACTCTTTACAATGGGAAGCCAACGAAAGTAGTTTCAGATTAAAATAAAAATACAGATCATATTGTGCCTATCTCTGATGCTATCTGAATTTATGCTATAAGGTGGTTCTAAAAGGACATCAGAGCTTAGCTGGCAAAAAACCTTGCAGTTGTTCAATGCAGTGTCTTCATAAATTCATTCATTATTAATCTTAACTGATTTTAATCTGAACTGTTTGTATCCCAGGATTCAAGACAAAGCCCCTTTCGAAACTGTGTAGAAAAGCAACATGATTTTTCATTTAAAAAGTAAAAGTCTCTTTTTCCACCCTGATTAAATTCTCAGAGAATGAAAGAGAATCTATCCAGGGTGTAGAAACACACTCATTTTGCAAAGACTAGTTTAAAATGCTATGTCCTTTAAAAGCAGAGCTGGCAAAGTGGTTCTTCACAGAGCTTTTAATCCACAAAATCATCTTTTTTAGCATAACATGTGGTCAGAGAGCTTTGGGTAACCGGGCTCACTTTGCGCTGAAGTGCATTAGGGAATGCTCCTGTAATCGACTCTTCCAGCTGACCTGTGACTGATAACTCCAGCTACCAGCTAACAACAAACAGAAGGAAGCAGTAATGTTTTTAGCTCCCCTGGCTAGATCTTGAAGACAGACATTTGCCTGAGCATTATTTCCAAATGTCAATAGCCCAAACTCTTTTTTTTAATATAGCCCTGGACATGTGAAAACTAGTTATGTTTTCACTTAAACTGTACGTTACAAGCCAGGAATACAGATTTTTTTTTACTGTGGCATGCAATTATTACAATAAAATCAAAGTACCAAAGCTGGGTGCACTGTGCAAAGTCATGTCCCGAATCACTCGAGTGCCAAAACAGGACCACATCAGGAGGAACTGCTGAGCTACCTTCTTCAAAGAGCCTTGTCTCTTGGCAGCTACCTGCAAGAAAACAGATATATCTGACATGGAGAAACTTTTATTTCTACCACTCGATACAGCTGAATGATGCACATATCCATCTTCTTTTTTTTATACGAAAAGACTACTTACCATTGTCTTCACATTAAAATATAAACTAAAAACTAAAACAAAAAAAACCCCAAAACAACCTTACACAGAAAACCACCTTGTAACCATATAAAACCTTCAGAAAGAGGAAATCATAAAGTATTATTCAACACCAAGACTGAATGTCCTTTATAAATGATGAAAGGACTACCAAAAAATTGCTCTGATCTTCATCTTAACCTAATTACTTACATGCTCATTCTTGCTTCCTAGTCAAGGAAGTAATTTATAATCAAGACTCCTTGATCTACACTGAAAATTTATAGTAATATTTCAATTAAAGTTTACTATTGAATATAAATCTTTTTGTTCCTTCATGTTTTTATTTCTGTGAACTCACATAATGATTTTACCAGGAAAAATACTTTCCAGAAAGCACACTTTAGGCATCAGTTCTTCAAAAATTTATTTACTATAGCCATATATGAGTTAAAGAATTAGGTTCATCCAATTAGCTAATAAAATTCATGTCAAATTCTTCATGAAAATTAACAGTTATGGTCTGAATTTCAAATTGCATTCCACTGACTAAAAGAAAAGTTCCCCAAAACAATCAAAGTATTTCAAGTAATCTGGGGAAGTATCTGCTGTTTTCTGTACTGATCTTTTGCAGCCGAGAGGCAGGCAGCAATTTTTTATTTTTTTTACTTCTTAGTTCTAACAACTGAAATGAAGAGTTGAAATTCTAATAGAACATACTAACAGAAAGTATAGTTAGTGACAGAAGTTAAAATAGTCAGTCATATAGTTTCATACTCTATGTAAAATTATGGTGATGCCTGATCACTTTTGAAAATATTTTTTAGATTTGTTAATATGTTTCTGCATGCACTTAAATTAAAATAAAATACAAATCCTTGGTATCCCAAATCAGCTCAAAACGCAACAAAAATATGTCCTTGACTGAATAGTAATGTAGACTTTAATCCTTACATTTGAATGTATATAAATTAATTAGCTAGCCTAAATATCCTTTTCATTAAAATCTTAAAAGACCAGATTAGATTATGCTTTTATTTACACCGTGTCATTAGGATGACACTGAACTCATCTCTCCATACCCCTGAAATACTGATTTGATTGGAAACCTCAACCCTGTTCCATCCTTGAATATCATCTTTTGGGACAGAATAGACAAGAGCAGAATAAAGCAGAATCCTGAATGTGAGCAGTTCTCCGTGAAAACTGGTGAGATTTTGCCCACTGCTGCTTTACTCCTGCTTATTATCAATGCCTGGCTTTTTTTTTTTTTTCTTTCTTTCTATTTTTGCTAAAATTCTATGACCTGACTAGAGCTCATAATGCACATCAGTGACTCAGGTCCTTACTCCTGTTTACCAACCTTTACAACACATCTGTCCACCATGGAATCCAGCCACTCGATGTACGACTCAATGGGGGACTGCTCCTCCAGAAGGTGATCAAACTCCTGATACACTGGCAGACAAAGAAAGAACAGCCCACCTCAATACTTGGATTCCATTTCGAACAACGGAGAAACAAATCCCAAAAAGCTGCCAATAACTTCGCAAGTTTGCTGTGGTTTTTATAATAAATTACTTAGCTATAACAAATATTCCTGGTGCTGACTCAGTAAGTTTGCTTGGTCTATTATCTTGTTTCTACTGAAAGTGATGGAGTCATTGGAAGTGGTATATTAATGTGAGCCAATCAGGACCTATTGTTTAAAATTAATCTTTTGATTTAAGCTTCAGCTGTCTGGTGTGCCCGGAAGTGAAACGTTTATGGTGTTCTCTACGAAGAGTGCAAAGCTATGCCTTGATCCTGGTGATGAAAAAAGGTCATGCATGAAATTGATTTAGAAATGCATAAAGAATCTTCTAAGAACCAAGTGGATGAGTATTGTTGATAGGGTTCTCATCTGTATAATGCTTTAGTTGCAAAAAACATGATTTAACTGCTGCAGATCATCTATTTGCAATGCCAGACACACACACAAAGAGTTTCCATAAACTTCTACTTCTTCAAAACAAATTGCTACCAATGCACAAATGCTATGCTTAATTTATCAGGAAGAGTTTCAAAAAGTAACCTGTATACTTTTTAACCTTTCCCAAGCACACATATTCATATTTTAATAAAGAAAGTAAAAATAATCAAGTCATTCAACTGCAGCTTTTAAAACTGCAAGTCTAGTTTATTTATGAGAACCAATGGCTGGAAGACAAAGAATCACATCCTTTGACACCTTAGGAAACTATTCTTCAACTCAGCTAGAATAAAAGGCCCAGTAGGTCAAGAAGAAAGATACTTTCTACCTGCTGTGTTACAGGATGATCTCAATGTGCTATGCATTTCCATTTATGCTTAATTATAAATAAAAAGAAGGAAGGAATTTCCCAGCATAGGAAGGATAGTGAGGGAGGTGGAGGAGGCAAAGCTTAGAGATGATAGCTAGAGAAGTGAGCCAGAGAGGCTATCAGAGAATAATGCAAAGAATAAGCTCCCTAGTCTCTAAGCTGGATCAGCAAGAGGAGCAGGAAT